ACTCATTAGGAGACCGAAGCGTCTACCACTGCGGCTACCGCTGCTGCCTGATTTTGGGGGTTGATAGCTAGATCATGACCACACGCATATTGAATTAAATTATTAACATAATTTTGTAAGACATTTCGACATCGTGGGGATTAAAATAATGTAACAATTGTGTATCGTCTGCGAAAGATAGATATGTGAATTATCAAGGATTCTGTTCAAGTCAAAAGTATACGTATATATCAGAAGCAATAACGTTCCTAACACAGAGCTTTGAGACACACCTGAAGGAATAGTAGTCACATGAGAAAAGTTTTGATCAATGCAAACGCATCGAGACCGTTTATCTTGATAACTTCTAAAAAATTGAAGAGCTAAGACATAGGTATACCTACGTAATTTAATTGAGATAGTAGTAATTCATGATCGATGCTGTCAAAAGGTTTCGAGAAATCTATAGACATTATCGTTAATGGGCTTTTCTTATCTAAAGCTATTAAAATATTATCTTGCAAATCGAGAAGTGGTTGTACTATAATTTTGTCAAAAGCCTGAATAATTGAGTATTTTTCAAGATAAGTGGTTAGTTGCAATGTTATCAGTTTCTCCAGTATTTCAGACAAAGCACCCCTGCTCTAAACAATCATGAATGATGTCTACAATGTAAAAGATCACAGAATCGGATCATTTACAAAGATATGCCATCTATTCTTTGCATATGACTTTAGTGACTTTATTGCTTGAAATACGTCACTGGATTGAATTTTGCTGAACAAAAAAGGGAGCTCTGGATATGACTTATTTTTCAATTAAAATTTGGTAACTTGCAGATTAACAGATTACTGTACACAGACATGAAATAATCATTGATTTTGATCGGGTCACTGAAATTAGCTGATAGAGTTGGTTTACTACGGAAATTTATATCTAGTCCTCTGACGCACCACCACATTGTTTTTGATCATTTTGATTAGCTGAATTTTTTATATAAGCCTTTTCATCCCCTCATTTTTAAAGCACGATTTCTTAGCGACTTCTTCATATGTTCCAGTCGTTCTTTCGGCTTTATTCTCCTTGAGAATAGTGCGTAAGATGGTTTCTTCACCCTTATAGTCCTAAATGATGCATGTTTATTAAAGATTTTCATGATTGTGTTTGTGAGGTGATTAACTTTCTCGTCAGTATTGGAAAAAATGGATAATTCATCTATTGGAGACCTAGAAAGATTAAAATGAAACGCATCTTTACTGGAAATTTTGAAATCCTGGATTGTAATGTGATGTTTGTTTTATTTTATACGACGGAACATCAAAACTAAACGAGTTTATCATTCGAGATGTCATAAGTGTGATCGAACAGTAGCTGCAAATTGATGATCCTCATTTACGGTGGTAGGTGATCAATCTTCCAACCGGCAGTGGCTTCTTCGATGCTCTGTACCAAACAACTATTTAGGCAGTTAACTTCCGGGCATGTATCTGTTAGGACTACCAGATTCCATGTAGATCAAATCTAAACTTGTATTACTGTGTTAAAACCTTAAATGAATGGAGTAATCAAAATAAAGTTTGCCTGTTCTGGCTAGCAAGTCATCAAGAGCAGAAAAGCAACAAATATGGTGGACGGACACGATCTTGAAGCCTCAAGGACAATCCAAGTAAGGAGATGATTGGGGGATGAAGCTACTATTCACGATGGACCAACTGAAGTACAACAGGATGACTTTTGAAGGCAAAACTAGGGCATTATCGATAAAAGTGGCAGGCAGGTTAACAAAAAGTAACCACTACATATCTCGTGTGTGTGAGAGACGCTGACTTCTTCGGGATTTAAATTTAGTGCCAGTTTTAAAGACTCGATCTATAAATTTTATATCGCTTATGTATCATTGAGATGTTTAGTACCCGTATTGTCAGTCGTCACTACAATTGTAGGGCGCCTTTATGGCCTCCTTGATTGTCATAGTTTTCTACTTCTCCGTGTCAGAACTCTATTTTGAAGTTATGTCACAAACATCTATTTGCATCAAATTGTGCTTGCTTTTGAGTTATATCATTTTTTATCAGCCTGAAATTTCCTACAATTTAAAAATAAAACATATCTTCACAATAGGAGAGCGCTGACGCTGACACGGGACAAGTGTAATCTAGAAATTTTTGAAGGAGAGAAAGGAGTATGACAATCAAGGAGGCCATAAACGCGCCCTACAATTGTAGGGACGACTGACGATACGGGCCTAGGTAACCGAGAAACGTATGAATACTCGTAGTTGCACAAGACCACTAAGAAAACTTACTCTTACTTTTTTATGAAAATCGCGATGATGGTACGTCAAACGTCAACTGTAAGTGTTACAACGAATCCGGAGACCCTTTCATGGCCACAAATGGGCATATGACTAAACAGTGGTGTATATAGAACTCGCTTTCGGGTACAGTCATAGGTCTGGTATGGAGGTTATATTAATAGAGCGTTTATGAAATCGTTAATAGTAAAAAGAATATTTGATATCACAAAAGCATTGAATTAGATGTGTCATGTCGCATGCAAACTTCCATCATATGGCCTCCCAAAGAAGCTTTGCTGATGGATGGCTGACTTTCTCTCTGGCCGCAAGATAGCCTTCGTGACTGACGGGTTCTAATCTTCATCCTACAACGTCAACGCGGGTGTTCTCCTGGGAAAGCTCTTGGTTCCGACACTGTTCTTCTTACATATCAACGACCTTCTTTCCTGTACGATCAATCCTATCCATAGTTTTTCCGATGACAGCACTTTACATGCAGGAATTCAGAGTAACAAGTCGATCTCTGCCGGTGAGCTGGAAAAAGAAGACTAGCAGCAACTTCCTCTCTAATGAGGAACCTATAGGTTATCATTTCTTGGGAACGCAACAATCTTGCACAGTTTAATGCTTCCAAAACACAGTACTGTACCTTGTCGAACAAAAAGCGTTCTAGCGGTTTTCCGGTATTGATGGATAGCCGAGGTCTGCCAAACTGGCACGAGCACATCTCGTCAATAGCGGCAGCTACTGGGCTACTAGGCTATTTATTTGGGACTAAGAAGTAATTTCCTCCATATGACCTTCAGACCCTATACAAGGCCCAGATAAGACCTAGTCTCAAGTATTTCTCACATGACTAAGGTGCTGCCGCCCCGACTACATTATATATGCTCGATGTTGTTCAGAGAAAGAAAGAAAATGACAGTGTTATTTAACTATTTATACATCCTGATAATATTAAGAAACATTTTTTATAAACCGTTGGTTTTATTTGAAAATAAAATGTACGTACCTGAGACATCCTTTATCACCTAGCTCCTATACTATAACATTCAGCTCATCCTCTGCCGACATCTTATAGCGTGCCGCATGCTTATATTTGAATCTAAATAGGAGGTTTGGCATTTCATCCGAGATTCTGTTAGTTGAGCGCAGGCCTTTTGCAATTCTCATTTGAATTAACTACGCTCTGAAAATTTATTCAAATTCGTTTCTTAAGCCGATTTTAAAGTGGTGTGTAATGAGGGAAGTGTCAAGACTAGAAAAAAAATGTGTTTGGTCGCCGCTGGTTGAGATCGGATTATCAAATGGCGCTAATTAAAAAACGTTAGAGCTCTTTTGAATTTAATTAGATTTAGGTAGACATGATCTGGTATTTTAAAATTAGGACTGATATGCATAAAGTTTTGTAGTTCATTTTTTCATCCAATCTGTAGGCCAACAGATACCTCAAAATATAGCAGAAAAAAGTGTCATATATTACCAGAATCGGCCACCGCGAGAATGAACAGTAGCTACTGAAACTACAAAGAATCTCAGTTCGCGTTCACAGCCGGGTCACCCCAGTGACCGATGATGCCGTCGATCCTGGCGTTATAGTATATAATAGTCATTGAAAAACTTATAATACCGGTTTTATCCGTTCGACCGTGCACAGCTGTTTCATGCTTATTGGCAGTCATCAGCATAATCTAGGTATGATCTCTAGGTAGAGCAATAAACGAAACCAGAGTAAAGTATCCCCTATCTGAGGTGTCTATCGAAATACGACAGTACAAAGTGCCATTGTCAGAATCGACAGCATCAGGCGGCCACAGCGGTAACTCAGCTGTTGACGTGAGCTAAGATACTTTACAGTTCCAATGGATAGCCGCTGTTCGCTCTCGCAGAGGTCGATTCTGGTAATAGATAGTACTTCAATAGACCTTACACCTCAGATTGAGGGTACTTTGTTCTGCTTTCGTTCGTTGTTCCGCTTAGAGATCGACCTTAGAGCGAGCTGTTGATTTATATATAAGTATGAAACATCTGAACTGTTCGCCCTCGGATGGAACTTTCCCATTAGATATCTGTTTTAACCAAACTCGATAAGCCTAGTTTGTCTCACTTCCTTGATACCATAAAAATGAGGGAGCTGTCATACCAACCAGTTATAGACGTATAGAATATCTTGTTTCACTGCTGTCTCCTGATGTTGTAGGTCAGCGAACTTTGTTCTATATTCCGATTTACTTGTAAGAGCTTCAAACGACATAACTGCAAAGCACACGCTTAATAAGCCCCACGAGCCCTCCCAGAATCTGAAGCCAATATGTACATAAGGTAAATTCAGTCTATTAGCGATCCACATCCTCTATTAATGCCGTTCTGCTCTTATGTAGTGTGTTTTCTGTAATATCAAAATTCTACGCACCACTGGCACAACTGTTGCATGTCATGGAAACGCCCTTCACGGGTAAAAATCCGAAAAATCTCATATTTCCTGAACGACGAGGGAATAAAATGCATCCTGTGACATACCGCTCAGCCGAGCTCATCTCCCGAACCTAGATGTAAGCTACTCGTCAAAAGTGAGTAGGGTTTTAGAAAAGCACATCGTCGAAGATGAAAAACGGAAAATTAGAATGGTAGTCTGTGTTTTATGCCAGTTTGCCAGTACAAACATTGACGAACATATCAAATTAGAAGATACCCAATACGATGAATTAACTGAAAGTCAAACTGTGGTTTTCACATCTATGATTAAAATTCCTCTTTATTGTCCGACGTTTTGGTACAACTGTGACTTTTTATAACTACAATTTACTCTTCTGACGCCATATTTAAACAAATTAATGTACATTGTAATAATGATAGATAACCTCATGCCCCCTTTCGCTTTTGAGGTCCGGACATCCTTTGAGGACGAGAACACCTACCCCAGGCGGTCCTGGATTTTGATGTTGCTGGTTCTAAACGGTGCCATCTTAAAATTGCAATGATGGTTTCGAACAATCTCAGCATGTTACAGGACGAAGTGTCATCTGGAAGACATATAAACAAGATATATAGATATTATCGGAAGTATCCATTGCACTTGGAAAAGGTCACAATTTGCCGTACAATAAAAAGGAATTTTAAGAATGCATGCGTTTTGATTCGACCAGAGAGACATGCGGGATTATACCCAGTCCTCCCCTTGCCTTTAGCGTCGCACAGTAGTCTAGAATACCAAAAAGCTGACAAAAAAATAGAATTTCTACTTCATTTAGGCTGTAAAGTTTCTTGGGGGTTAGTTGGTCTCTATGAGGGCATTTGAAGGTCACTTCAAGGTCATTTCAAGGACATTTTCAAAAGAAGCCAAACAGTTCATCCCAACCGCATGTCATTCAGGTCCGCTAAATCCGAATCGGAGGTCAATTAGTTATTATAGGTGCATCCGAAGGTCATTTCGGAGTCACTTCTAGGGCAAGTCCAAAATAAATCTAGCATTAGAATTCAAACGCGCGTTATATAGGTTTGCGCGGTCATTAAGTCCAAATCAGAGATCGGTTTCTCTCTTTAATGCTCTCAAAAGGGAATTTCAAAGCCAGTCAGAGGACCAATCTAAAAATCTGACTGTTGACCCCCTGCCATAACATGGCAGTATACGAGTACCAATTAAATTAATAATAATTTTGCAAGTTAGACAATAGAACGGTTTTTATTTTTTTACTCAAAAAAGGCGCATCGAAGGAAAACAATTCATGGGAAATCATTTGATTTAAATTGAACGGGGAATTCAAAAATAATTTTTACTGGGCAAAAAACCATTGGCGTACCATTTTTTGCTTAAAAGTCAATACCCGTACGCATGCCACTGTTACAGCTAAAAATTATTTTTGCATTGAGAAATATGCAACTTTATTAACTTTCCCTACGTACTAAATATCATTGAAATATCTGAAGCGGTTCTGGAAATATTAATTAATTTAGATTTTTTTTCTAAAACTTCAACACCCCGAGTTTTTGTAAGGAAACATTTTGATAAAGCAAACTAGCATTAATTTTTCATGTAGATTCACACCCTTAAATATTCGCATATCATTAAGGAATACCCTGTATAAGGTCGTATCTCTCAATAGTTCGCAAAAGTAGTCAAAAGCTCACACATTTTATCTGGCAGTACTTCAAGGTTCACTAGCATCATTTATTCCAATTGGCTCAAAGGGCGGAACCTAACCAAAAACCTTTTTGAATAATACTATTGTAAAGAAGTGAAGCTGAAAATACTAAGCCGTTTAATTCACAACAACAATAATGACAGACAGACCTCCATTGCATCAAAAGAAAGTTCATACTCTTTATAAACATTGTGTTCATTTGATATCTTCCCACCGCGGATTTATCGAAAACCATCGATTAAAAGAAAAAACGCCGGGACACGTCAAAAAATTTGTCAAGGGTGACAACTTTTTAACCTAAGACTACTTCACCCACTTTCACCCTCGGCCCCCCTGAGTCATTCACTTAGTAATTTTAAATTACAAGGGGAATACAGCAATAGATTGTTTGGAAAGTCTTTCGAAGTTCTTTATTTTGACGTTTGATTTATTTTAATCAGACGACTAGTTTTCGAGCAAATTAGAAAAATCTTTATTTATCTTAATTTGTTCAGATAGAAAACAAGAGCACACGAAAATGTCGCTTTTTATTTCAATAAGTGTTCAAAATGCTGCCCGTTACGGTTCGCCAAATCTACAATTTCTTTATAATTTAAAACGGAAACTACCAACATAAACAGCAATTTGGAAGATTGAGAGACGTGGCAATAACCAAATAATAACCCGAATTTTTTCCGCATTCTTTTCATCAACACAGATATTTTGGGCGAACTGTATTTATTCTTATACCTGTTCAGCTATTCGTTGCTAAGGGAAAGAAAGAAATGAATTTGCTGTCAGTTACCTTTCTGACAATCTTGAGATTGTAAAAATTAATTCATTGATTCATATTTTACTTCCAAAATAGCTTACACACTAGCCGAAAAAGTGGAAATGATTCTAATTTATGATGCTCAAAATCAATGTGCTCTGCAAACTGTCGTCACGTTTAACGCCAGACATCCGGGAAAGATAACTTCGCATACATATGTTGTGGACCTTGTTACTAAATTTACTCAAACTGGATCTGTTGCAAATAAAAGACGTGTTCATTGGAGAGTTTTGGATGAAGCCGCTCAAGTTTTGAGTCATTTTGGAATAAATCCTGATACTTCATTACGCAAAATTGTTGCTTCGGCTGGTATTACATTAGGCTGTGTACACTAAGTTACTAACCTCCATAAATTTCATCCATTGTGAACAAATGACTGTAGCGATCAATGATAATACCATTCATGTAAGGAATACATATCTGCGTCAGTGATGAATGCACATTTTATCTAAGTGGATTTGTTAATCAGCATAACTGCAGGTATTGAAGCAATGAAAATCCTCATGCCTTTGTAGAAGGGCATACCCAGTACCCCCAAAAAAATAATATATGGGCACGCATTTTTTTTTATACTCCAACCACCACGAAGGCCTAAGGCCTAAACACACATAGGGTACCGTGGGGCTATAGCGGGTTACAGGGAAAAGGGGGAACGCCACACGGACTCCGGCGAGGGAAAACGTGTTCATGCAACATGCACACATTCTGGCTCCGCCTCCGAGATCCGCCGGGTGGTACATCTGCGTTCGACAGTCAGAGACCGTCTACCACCTACAGACAATCACAACATCCATAGCCAAGAGAAAAATTTCTCTTAGGACGGGATTGGAACCCGCACAGCGCACGGCAACTGATCAGGAGACCGAAGAGTCTACTACTGCGGCCACGGCTGCTGCCTAGGAAACAAAGTAATTGGGTCATTGTTTGTTAATGGAAATTTGAATGGATACATTTATTTGGATTTGTTGGAAAATACCATTGAAAACCAGATCGATGAGGATGAAAACCCCATACTAGATGAGGCTGAAATATATTTCCTCCTGCTCACTATGTTATTCCAATTCGACAATGGCTAGACGACCAGTTTCCAGATAAATGTATAGGGCGAAGAGAACTTATAGAATGACCTGCTAGATCTCCTGATTTGACTCCATTAGACTGTTTTCTATGGGGACATTTCAAATCTATTGTTTTTACTCACCATCCTGAAGGTTTGGATGAACGTCGTCAGCGCATCATCGACAGCTGCCATGTTATCCCACAACATGTTTTTGGAAATGTCCGTCAGGAATTTGAACATCGCCTATATCATTGTTTGACCAATAACGGGCAACGTTTTGAACGCTTATTGAAATAAAAAGAGACATTTTCGTGTGTTTTTGTTTTCTATCTGAGCAAATTAAGATAAATGAAAGTTTTCCTAATTTTCTTGAAAACGAATCGACCGATTTTGAAAAATCCAACGTCAAAATAAAGGACTTTTCAAGAAAGCTATTACTTGATACCCCTTGTCTCTTAATATTTTCAAGGGGATGACCCCGGGGTGGCAGAGGGTTAAAGGGGGTGAAATAGTTTTTGGTTAAGAAGTTTTCCCCCTTGACAAACCTTTAGACGTGTCTTGGCGTTTTTTATTTTAATCAGGGGTTTTCGATAAATCCCTGGTGGGAGGTATATATTTTGTGCACAACATCTGCTGGAATACGAATTCCAGACCTACCGGGTTTATCCGGAAAGTAATAGGACTGAGTCGATTTAAAAAACTGTATTGAGCCAGTCGTTACAATTCTTTAAAAACTTTCAAAACAGGCTCATTCTGCGTCGATGCAGCGCTGCCAGCGCGATTTCCAAGCATCAAAGGCGTCATGGAAGGCATTCTTCGGAATAGCCTTGAGACCCGCGGTGCATGCTGCTTGGATCCCCTCTGTCGTCCCAAAATGCTTGCCTTTAATCGGCCTTTTCAGGCGAGGAAACAAAAAAAGTCCGGGGGGGGGGCATATCTGGGCTGTGAGGCGGCTGTGGAAGCGTTGGGCATGCCGGCCTTGGTCAGGTAGCTGTTCAGAAGAAAGGCGGTGTGAGCCGGGGCGTTGTCGTGGTGCAACTTCCAGTCGGCTGCGATGTCTTGTCGGACCCGACTGACCTTTCGTTTGAGTCTCCTGAGCACTTCCACATAAACCTTGGCATTGACGGTTTGTCCAGGAGGAACAAATTCATGGTGGACGATGCCTTTAATGTCAAAAAAGACAACGAGCATCGTTTTCACTTTGGATTTGCTCATTCTTCCCTTTTTTGGGCGAGGAGACGCCGTCGTGTGCCTCTTTGACTCGGGATCATACTCAAAGATCCACGACTCTTCACCTGTGATTACGTTATTCAAAAATTGGGGGTCACTTTCACACAAGTTCAAATTTCTTTGGCACACTTCCACACTTCCCCACTCGCCGCAATTTCTGGTCGTCAGTGAGCACTTTTGGGACCATCTTCGCGCACACCTTGCGCATGTTCAAATCCTGTGTCACAATGTCATGAACCACAGATTTTGGTAAATTTAACATCTGGGCAATTAAACGAATACTTAGTCGACGGTCTGAGTTCAAAACTTTGCGCACACGAGTCACATTATCGGTGTTTGTCGTAGTCGAAGGACTTCCAGCACGGTCTTCATCAGCGACCTCTTCCCGGCCCTCCAAAAAGGCCTAGTGCCACCGAAACACACCATTTTTTGCTAAAGCAACACCTGGGTAAGCTTGCTTGATCATATCAAACATCTCTGTCGCAGATTTACCGAGTTTCACACAGAACTTAATCGCTTACCACTGCTCTAACGAACGCTGCATTTTCGGCTTGCACCACTCACAGAAACACGTCGCGCGAAAATGCCTGTCCTGACCCTCCAAGTGCTCGGAGACAACTAACCAGCCGCTCATTCGTTAGCTAGGAACGCCCTCTACCGAATCCAGTCGGTGCGCGCGCGCCATCCGAAGTACAGTCATGGCGGAAGAAAATGAGTCCTATTACTTTCCGGACAAACCCTGTAATATCAAATGAAGCTTTTAAGAACTCTATCTACTCTAAGATCCACTCGGGAACGTGAAAGAACCATTAGAACGTCGGATACCCTGTGGGATTGTCCTGATCAATATCAAATATTTTCGTGCAATATATTGAATGAACATACTTGGTAGACTGCAAATAGGTGATGAATATCTCCATCGTGAATAAAGGGTGTCCTGAAAGCTTGCACTTTCCTTTTCAGAAACAACTGCGCGTTAAGTAACAAAGTTAACTTGCGGTAAAGCAGCAACGAGAAAAAAGGAAATTGAAAAAATACTCACCACTCACATGTTTTGTTTGTTGTTCCTAAATTTGCAACATTTGTGGATAGACAAGAAGGAATTAGAAATCAAATATCTTTACAGCGCTGATTTTCTCGCGCGGCAGAGAAACACTTTGTGCTCTCAATATACAAATAGATATTGTTAACAGGTACGTGATCATATTTTCCTGTTTACCTACAGGACAAAAATGATGACACACTTTTGAGCACTATTATATCCGAATACATTCGCGGTCACGTATGCATACCATCATTATTAAAAAACCCACAGTCCCATATTTCCTGATATTGCACATCCGTTTCTATTGTACGTTGAGGTGTAGGCAGGAGGAAAAACAACGAAATGTGCAGTGCACATTTAAATGGAGACATTCAGGACAGGTGTTGGTTTGGTTTTGGTTTCTTCCGATTTTTTATCTCGCGAACACAGCAGGGACTTGCCGCATAAAGTGGGACCTTTTAGAGTAATAACAGGTTAGGTCCGGGGGCGAAAAAATATAAAGAGGATAAAAGGTCCCTTGCAAGAAAGAGCAACGCCTCATACCGGGATGAAGTGAAATAAAATGTTGTGCTTGATCAGGCACCTGCTGGTTGTGAAATTTTTGATGCGATGGTATTCAGAAAAATTGTTCAGTATCTAGAAGAAGCCGCTAAATTGAGCTCAAGCCATCCATTTGATGGGTACATCAAATTCAGAATAATGTTAAAACTTAGATAACGATTTGTTACCAAACCTACGGCAAAGCGAGTTTAGAATGTAAGAGCTGTGAGTCGTTCCTTCAATTGTAGGACGCCTTTATGGTCTCCTTGATTTTCAAAGTATTTCCTCTCCTTCAGAAAGACTGGGATATTTACAGATTTCTACTGTTCCATGTCAGCGTCAGTGCTCTCGTATTGTTAGGCTGTTTTTTTCTTTAATTATTTAAAATTTCAGATGATATACTAAGTGACATATAAATCCGAACACCCAGTTTAAATGGTTTTATTTTAATAAAATTTTGTATACTTAATGAAGCATAATAAGTAAATGATAAAAATTTCAAAATGATTGCACTGCTTTAAAGCCCTTTGACCTTTAATAATGTGTGGATGCACCCTGATGTGCTACACATTCTCCAACGCGTCTAGGCATGCTTCTGATCAGGTGGTCAATGTCCTCCTGTGGTATCTCATTCCAGGCAACCACCAACTCCTCTCGAAGTGCTTCTAGAGTCTGAGGAGGACGTTGCAAATTGAGCAATCTCCTAACCATCATATCCCACACATGCTCAATTGGGGATAAGTCGGGAGATCTTGGTGGCCATGGTAACAATGTGACATCGTTATGTTGAAAGAAGTCTATTGTGACTCTTGCAACATGTGGTCGGGCATTATCTTGTTGGAAAGTTGGATCTGCCAGGGTGTCAAGATAGGGTAAAAGATGGGGTTCTAGAACTTCGTGGATATAACGCTGCGCGTTCATGTTACCTCTGATGCAGATTAAAGGTGAGCTGGAACCATAAGCTATAGCACCCCAAACCATAACTCCAACAGTGTGATGAACATGTCTTTCAACAAAAAACTGTGGATTCCTCCTTTAACCACGTCGCCTTCTAACCCTGGCACGACCATCGTGCATGCCTAAAAAAAAATCGAGACTCGTCACTAAAGACAATACTGTTCCATTCCTGACCCCAGAGTGATCGTTGTCTGCACCACTCAAGGCGATTACGTCGGTGTTCTCGAGTTAAAGGGAGGACCCAGTATGGCCGGTATGAAAACAAGCCAAAACTTCTCATTCGTCGGTAAACACTTCGCATGCCAATAGGTCTTCCGTGTTCTGCAAACCATTCATTTGCGATGGACCTGGTAGTGGAGAAACGGTCCCTTAAGGCCAATAATCTTAGGCGGCGATCTTCACGGTCTGTTGTTCTACGGCGGCGTCCAGTGCCCCTTGCTCTTTGCGTACGGCCTTCTCGAAGCCATGCCTGACAACACCTAACCACAGTGTCTTCACTTCTTTGCACTCTAACTGCAATTGCCCGAAAAGAAAGTCCAGCTTCCCGAAGTCCCACTATACGGCCCCTATCAACCTCACTAAGTTGACGAAATCGTACAGGTCTCCGTACTCTAGGCATCGTAACCGATCGTAAAGGATGTCAAGAACCAAAATCCGCCAACGTTGATTCTTTACTGCGGCTGAAATATTCATTTTTAGAGCGTTAATGAATTAAAAAAAAGCAGTATAAAAACCGGAATGTCCAACAGATAAGGATGAAATTTTTTTTCACTTGTTATTTACAGTAAGATAAATACATTCATCAACGTTTATTAAAATAAAACCATTTAAACTGGGTGTTCAGATTTATATGTCACTTAGTATATAAATCTAAGGCATAAACAATTTGATGCAAATATATATTTGTAACATAATCTCAAAATAGAGTGCTGACACGGA